AAAATTGTTTTATATTATGTATTTGAATATTTCTTAATGTATTAGCTTTCATATTTAGACTTCATAAATTTGTTATAATATCTCATTTATAACTCTAAAACTGTAAATTTTACAATTTACTATCCAAATACACGTTAATTAACAAGTATTTAATTATTAATTTTGTTCAGACGCATGGATGGGTCGGAATTTATTTCGCCACTATCTTCTCCAGTACAGAAAGAGTACAGAGTACTACAGAGGAAAGACCGGGGAAGGGTCACGCTCGTAAAATACTAGTATAAAAAAAGCATAATGCTGATGTGTTTCTTGTACGAAAAGCGTAGAGATAACGCAACTTTTTTATCACACTGAAGAGACAAACAAACAGAATATCTAATAGTAAGAGCTAAAAGTGTAGTAATTGTGATAGAATAGAATAGAATAGAATAGAATATTTTTTATTCAATATACATTACATGTGTAATTCTTATTGAAAGTCATTTTTTACTTTACCACTGGTTCGAAAAAAACCCTCTGTCCTGGGAAGAACCAGCAAGAAACCCAGCGGGACTTTTTTTTAAATAAATTTTACAATATAAATGATTACGAACTATTTACAAAATTTATTTTAGGAACTGCTTGGAAGCGATCACCTCATTCCCAGGGGTTATTATCAACCATGTATTCATTTATACTATAATAACCCTTTTTATACAGTTTCAGCTTAATAAAACATTTAAACTTGGTAATAGAGAGAACCTGTACACTTTCCGGGACCTTGTTGTAATAGCGTATACATTGCCCCAAGAATGAATTACTGATTCTGTGGAGTCGAGAAAATGGTATCACTAGCTTGTGTTTGTTCCTAGTGTTTACAGAATGTATATCACTTCTTTTACTAAAACTATCTTTGTTTTTGTGAACATACATTAAATTTTCGTAAATATACTGAGAGGCCAAAGTTAATATATTAATTTCTTTAAATTTATCTCTAAGAGACTATCTCGGTTTTAGATTGTAAATAGCTCTAATGGCCCTCTTCTGTAAAACAAAAATAGTTTCTGAATCAGCCGCATTTCCCCATAGCAAAATCCCATAAGACATTATGCTATGAAAATAACTAAAATAAACTAATCTAGCTGTCTCGACACTAGTGAGACCTCTAATCTTTTTTACAGCATAGGCTGCAGAACTTAGTCTGCTTGCTAATTTGGATAAATGGGGGCCCCACTGGAGCTTTGCGTCAAGAGTGATGCCAAGAAAAACAGTGGATACAACAGGGCTCAATTCCTCCCCATTTAAAAACACATTGGTATTCAGATTTTGAACATTCGTTGTTGTAAATTTAACACAATTAGTTTTATTTCCGTTCAAATGCAGATTATTAACGTTAAACCAATGCACTAATTTTTAATATAGCATTATTCACTTCGTCACATTTAAATGATTGACGTTTAAGTTTAAAAATCAAGGAAGTATCATCAGCAAATAATACTATATCATGACTATCCCCTACAAGGTGAGGTAAGTCATTAATATACACCAGAAACAGGAATGGGCCGAGAATCGAGCCCTGAGGTACACCCATTAGTATAGATGACCCGGAAGAACTTTTACCATTGATAATAACCTTCTGTTTTCTATTACTTAAATATGAAATAATAAGTTTAAGCGCTGTGTTCTTGACACTATAGTACTGTAGCTTCCTGATTAATGTTTCATGGTGAACACAGTCGAAGGCCTTGGAAAGGTCACAAAATATACCCAAAGCATCCTCTGAATTCTCCCATGCACAAAAAATATGTTTAATAAGCTCAACTCCAGCGTCAGTTGTCGAGCGACCCCTTGTAAAACCGAATTGATTATTATGTAGCAATTTATTAATATTAAAGAAACTTAATATTTTAACACTTTCGCCGTGCAGTGGCGGTCAAGAATACCACTACCCCATATCCTCCCGTGGGTGTCGTAAAAGGCGACAAAGGGAAATAGGCAGGAGATGGGCAGCAGCATCTTCCTGATAATAGCTAAAATTACAATAAAAAACTGCGGTTGCCAACCCGCTCGTCAAGCGTGGCAACTATGGCAAATACCCCCCTATGAATGTAACAAAGAGACGGCCCCCAGTCCCCGGCGGCCCCTCTATTCCTGGCTACGGTGGCGACCATGGTAACGGCGGGGCAGGGGGTGCTAAGAATCTCCGGTGGAGGTTCGGTTGCCACCTTAGACGACTCGACCTGGCAACGTACAACGCACGCACCTTGAGGACTGACGAGAAGATCGTGGAGCTGGAAGAAGAGATAGACAAGTTGCGCTGGCATATTATAGGATTATCCGAAGTCCGAAGAGAGGGGGAGGACACGGTAATCCTCGAATCCGGCAACTTGCTCTATCACCTGGAGGGCGACCATCTGTCCCAAGGAGGTGTCGGATTTATCGTCCACAAGTCTCCCGTTAACAACGTTGTAAAGATCGGGAGTGTGTCGACGAGGGTTGCGTACCTTATACTCAGAATCACCAAACGGTATTCGCTGAAGGTCATACAGGTTTACGCACCAACCTCAGCACACCCCGATGGGGAGGTGGAGGAAATGTATGAGGATATCTCTAGAGCCATGCATTCCTCCAAAACCCAATATACGGTGTTAATGGGAGACTTCAATGCAATACTAGGCACAAGAGAGAACGGTGAGCTGAAAGTAGGGAAATTTGGAATAGGGCAACAGAACCCAAGGGGCCAACAGCTGGCCGACTTCATGGAGAAAGAGGGACTCTTTATGATGATCTCTTTCTTCCAGAAGCGGCCCCACTGGAAATGGACCTGGTCGAGCCCCGACGGTTCGACAAAAAATGAGATTGACTTTATTATGACGACCAAAAGACAACTGTTCAGTGATGTCTCCGTGATCGCGAGGGTGAAAACTGGTAGCGATCACCGAATGGTTAGAGGCACACTGAACCTAAACGTTAAGTTGGAGAGGTCTCGTCCTCGTGCTATGTTCCAAAGTCCCGAAACCTTTCAGCTCGAGTTACAAAACCGTTTTCAGTGCCTAGAAGACTGCAATGAAGTGGACGATATGAATGACAAGCTCGTGGAAACTGTCCATGCGGTCGGAGCGAAGTTCTGCAAGACCCGCCGCAGAAGAACACAAAAACTCTCCGATCACACTCTTAATCTCATGGCTGTTAGACGGGAGATGAAGCTACATTCTTCAACAGACTTGACAGCATACAGGCATCTAAACAGACAGATCTCCAAATGCATGCGGCGGGACTTACGCAACTTCAATACAGCTCGTATTGAAGAAGCGATCGAGCGGAACCAAGGCTATAAAGTCTTTGCCAGAGATCTGTCTGCCAGAAAGAGCCACCTGTCAAAGCTGAAGACAGAATGTGGCAGCATCGTTTCCGGGACACCTGAGATTTTGAGTGAGATTGAGAGGTTCTATGGGCAGCTGTACACGTCATCGTTGGAGCCACACGCAAGTGTGTCAAGTCGATCCAAGAGCGAGTCTCATCCGACACTATTCCGAAGATATCCCGGACGTCAGTCTGAGCGAGATTAGAATGGCTCTCCAGCACCTTAAAAATGGTAAGGCCCCAGGCGAGGATGGAATTACAGCGGAGCTTCTGAAAGCGGGTGGAAGACCGGTACTTGAAGTCCTTCAGAAGCTCTTTAATTCCGTCCTCCATGGTGGCATTACACCGGAGGCGTGGAGCAGAAGTGCGGTGGTCTTGTTCTTCAAGAAAGGTGACAACGCTCTCTTGAAGAACTACAGACCGATTTCCCTTCTGAGCCGCGTCTACGTGCTGTTTTCGAGAGTCATTACGAATCATCTCGCGCGCAGACTTGACGACTTCCAGCCTCCCGAACAAGCCGGTTTCCGAAAGGGCTTTAGCACCATAGACCACATACATACCCTTCGACAAATTGTACAGAAGTCCGAAGAGTACAATTTGCCACTATGTCTGGCGTATGTGGACTATGAGAAAGCCTTTGATTCCGTCGAAATTTGGGCGGTGCTGCAGTCCTTTCAGCGGTGCCAAGTTGACTGTCGGTATATCGAAGTGTTGAAATGCTTGTACAGTAGAGCTACGATGGCTATCCGAGTACAGAACCAGAGTACGAAACCTATCCAATTGCAGAGAGCTGTAAGACAGGGCGACGTCATATCCCCGAAACTCTTCACCGCTGCATTGGAAGACGTTTTCAAGCTTCTGGACTGGAAAGGATACGGTGTCAACATCAATGGCGAGTACATCACTCACCTTCGATTTGCCGACGATATAGTCCTTATGGCAGAATCGCTGGAGGACCTAAGCACTATGTTCAATGACCTCAATAGTGTTTCCCAACGGATAGGTCTTAAGAAGAACATGGACAAAACAAAGATCATGTTCAATGTCCATGTCACACCTATGCGGGTAGTTGTTGGGAGCACTAAGCTCGAAGTTGTTGACGAGTATGTTTACCTGGGACAAATAGTCCGACTAGGTAAGTCCAACTTCGACCGAGAGGTCAATCGACGGATTCAACTCGGCTGGGCAGCGTTCGGGAAGCTACGACACATCTTCTCGTCAGACATACCTCAAAACCTGAAAACGAAATTGTACAACCAGTGCGTGTTGCCAGTGAAGACTTATGGAACTGAGACGTGGTCCTTCACTGCTGGCCGTATGAGGAAGCTCAAGGTCGCTCAGCGAGCTATGGAGAGGGCTATGCTCGGAGTTTCTCTGCGTGATAAACTTAGAAATGAGGATATCCGCAGTAGAACCAGAGTGACCGACATAGCCCAACGGATTAGTAAGCTGAAGTGGCAGTGGGCCGGCCATATAGCTCGAAGAACCGACAACCGATGGGGAAGAAAGGTTCTCGAGTGGCAGCCTCGTACCGGTAGGCGAAGTGTAGGGCGTCCCCCCACGAGATGGAGTGACGACCTGGTAAGACATGCAGGAAGTCGATGGATGCAGGTGGCTCAGGACCGTGCTTTGTGGCATTCTTTGGGGGAGGCCTATGTTCAGCAGTGGACTTGTGAAGGGCTGTAATAATGATGATGATGATGATGAAAGAAACTTAACATCTGATCTAAAATAATTTTTTCAAAAATTTTACTTAATGTTGGTAGTACAGAAATTGGTCTAAAATTGGCGGGGTCTAATGTACTTTTTTTTTTATCTTTAAACCATTTCCCACTATCTGGGGTCGGCGCAGTAAATCTTTTTGTTCCATTCCTCTCTATCAGCCGTCATTTCCATACTTACTCCTTTCATTCTCATATCATTCTTCACGCAATCGATCCATCTTTTATTCGGCCTTCCTCTGCCCGTGTGTCCCTCCACATTCATATTCAACACTCGTTTTGTGACATGACTTTCATTCCTCCGCATCACATGCCCAAACCATGCCAATCTGCTTCCTCTCACCTTTTCTACCACTGGCGCTACTTTCAGGCTTCCTCTTATATACTCATTCCTTATCTTATCCATCCTTGTCACACCACACTTCCATCGTAACATTCTCATTTCATTCGCATGCAGTCTATTTTCATCCATCTTCTTGACGGCCCAGCATTCACTTCCATACATGACGACAGGTCGGATGATCGATTTGTAAATTTTCCCCTTCAGCCTTATTGGCATTCGGGGATCGCACGTTGTGGCTGTGACCTGTCGCCATTTCATCCACCCTGCGTTAATCCTATGCTGCACAGCTCTATCTATTCCGCCGTCGCCTTGAATGAGGGAACCGAGGTACTTGACATCTGAGCAGATAGGCAGTGTAGCGCCATCCAACGACATGGGTACAGGACTGGAAAGACCGCCGAAATCACAGCACAGATAATCGGTTTTGGATCTGCTAATCTTCAAGCCAACACTTTCCAGCCTCCGTTGCCACCCCGTCAGTCTGCTCTGTACCTCGATGCCTTCTTCCCCGACAAGCACGATGTCATCGGCAAAGAGCATGCACCAGGGTGCCTCATCCTGCAGGTCCGACGTCAAAGCGTCCATAATCAGTAGGAAGAGGTAAGGGCTCAGTGCCGACCCTTGGTGCAGCCCTACCGCCACATCGATACTGCCCGTAGTTCCCGCGGCAGATCGTACACATGTACGGGATGCTCTGTACATAGCACGGACCAACCTCACATACTTCCCAGGCATACCTTTCATCTTCAACGCCCACCACAAGACCTCACGGGGAACCCGATCGTACGCCTTTTCAAGGTCGACAAAAACCATGTGCAGATCTTTATGCACGCGCTTGTACTTTTCGCACAATTGGCGTAATGCGAAAATGGCATCTGTCGTACCTCGACCGGGCATGAATCCGAACTGGTTTTATGTTATCTCACACTCTTCTCTCATTCTTCTCTCTATTATTCTTTCCCAGACTTTCATCGTATGTGACATGAGCTTTATTCCCCGGTAACTGCTGCAGTTTTGAACGTCTCCTTTGTTTTTAAAAATGGGAACCAGTATACTACTGCACCATTCCTCAGGTATTTGTTCTTCCTGCAACAATTTACCGAAAAATAAACTCAACCACTTCCATCCATCCGCCCTCAGCAACTTCCACACTTCTACTGGTATTCCATCTGGGCCGACCGCCTTCCCATTCTTCATATTCCTAACAGCCATTTTTACTTCTTCCACACTAATTTCTCTCACTAAGCCCATATTCACTGGTGGGTTTTCAAGCATTTCATTCCATTCATTCTCCTCATTCATCAATTTCTCAAAATACTCCTTCCATCGCTTCTTTATACTTTCATCGTCAGTCAAAATCCTTCCAGAATCATCTTTTATACATTTTACATGTGAAACATCTCTTCCATTCCTTTCTCTCGCTCTTGCAATTTGAAAAAGTCGTTTTTGACCTTCGGGGCTTTCAAGGGACCGATATAATTTATCGTGCGCCTCTGCCCTACAAATAGCAACTTCCTTCTTCGCTCTCTTCTTACATTCTTTATACGCCCCTCTCTTACTTTCTTTTATGGATTCATTCTGGTCTTCTACGCTCTGCCATTCTTTAAAGGCATTTTTCTTTTCTCTCAAAACTTCTCTAATACTTTCACTCCACCACCACCCATCCTTATCTATCATACGCTTCCCTTTTGTTTCTCCTAACACCTTCCTTGCCTCACTTCGGATACAATCAGCCATTTCCTTCCAGCACTCATTCACACTCATTCCTTCCATATCACCCATCTCTATCATCTTGTTTACAACTAGCTCTCTAAATTCACTTGCATACCCCTCCTTATGCAACAAATGCCACTTTATTTTGGGTGGGGGACGATCCTTATGTTTGTTGAGGCGAACAGTTAAGCAGATGTCAGCCAGCAGGATTCGGTGCTGGGATACTAAGTCTTCACCTGGAAGCACTTTGCAGTTTTTTACACTCTTGATTTGGTTCCGTCTTATCAGAAGATAGTCGATCTGTGTCGCGTGGTGGCCACTTTTATAAGTAACAAGATGCTGATCTCGTTTTTGGAACCACGTGTTTACTACAGCCAGGTCGAAAGCACATGCTGCTTGCAGAAGAACTTCCCCCTCACGGTTCCGCACTCCGTACCCCCATCCACCGTGTACTCTTTCATACCCGTCATTCACTCTCCCTACATGTCCATTAAAATCTCCTCCCATATAAACATCCTCACGCTCAGGTATTCCCATCATCATACAATCAAATTCCTCCCAAAACTTCTCTTTCACACTCTCTTCACAGCCTGTTTGCGGAGCGTACACACTTACAACATTCACTACTTTGTTTTCAATCATTAATTTAACAACTATCATTCTGTCATTTACTCTTTTCACATCTGTCACTCGTTCTTTCATTCCACTATCTAACACAACTCCTACTCCATTTCGCTTCCCATCACTTCCACAATAATAAAACTTGTATCCCTCCCCAATCTCTCTTGCTTTATTGCCCTTCCATTTTGTTTCCTGCAAACAGGCAACATTCACTCTTCGTCGTTTCAAAACATCTGCTAACTCTCTTCCTCTTCCAGTCATCGTACCTATATTCCAGCTTGCAAACCTCACTCTGACATTCTTCTCTCTCCGGGCTCGCCTCTTACGTCGCACCCGCTCCGTAAGGTGCGACAACCCTTGCCCACTTCCCACAGGAGCCGGGTGCTGCCCCTGCGCGTCGCCTGCGGGGTACGCCCTAGCCCTGTCATATGTCCCACAACTCGTACTATTCATTTACTGCATGGGATTTGGCAAAAGTTTTACAGTCGGCCGCCTGCCTGACACCAACCCTCTTTGGGTATGCTATTGCTGGTAGAGGAAGCTACCATTTTGGGAAAAGGAAAAAGAAGTTTGGGGGTAGGAGCATAGGTGTAAGGATACTGTTATCTCGGCAGGAAGGGTATGAGAATAACAGTAGCTCGGGGAGCCGGGGTCGCGTACCCGTATTCCATAACAGGATCCCCGGAAAGGTAGACCAGCATGAAAATCCCCTGACTTAATATCATTATCCAAAGGGAAATTATGTTCAGTGTGCGAGTTCTCCTCATAGGATATCTTTCTTTGAGCCGTTTCTATCCCTTGTATATGTTTTGTAACTGATTGTTCTTGGGAATTTTGTTTTTCTGTACCAAAATATTTTACTTTTTCTTCGATATCCTCCCATTTTTCCTTTAATATCTTTTTACTTGAACTGAATTTATCTGACATAGCACTGCTTATACCCCTTAAAGCTTGTAAAGTCTCAGGTGATATTGTGGAAAATAAGTTATCGTCATTTGTTTTAGAATCAAAATTTTCATCTAACATTGTCTGTGTTTGATATGTATTATCAACAACATATATTCCAGATTTCATCTGAGTTGCTTCACCTAATTGTAAACTATCAAATTTCTCTAACATATTACTTATACTATTTAATAAGCCATTATTATGCAATTTATCTCTCAATCCAACCAAAATATGCAATTTAGGTGATAAATTGTTAGACAGCAAATGATCTCTATACAAGGCACATAGTTCAGCACATAAGGTATATTTCTCATCAATATAACATTTAACTAAAAACTTATCCAACTGCATGAATCTCGTATTGACTAGAGAGCCATTGCTTAGCCATATATAGAGCATATCGTGATATATTTTGCAATCTACAATATCTTTATATGTATCAAACCAAACTGTATTATTTACATTGTGGATATTTAAAAAATATAGTGAATTTTTATTAAACGAGAATATGGCACTATTAATCCAGTATATTTTGGGAAAGTTAACAGATTGTCCAACACTTTCCTCGTCCAAATTCCAAAGTGATAGGCTTTCATTATCATAAGATTCCACTGTCACTACATTCAATGGTTGCCTTGCTAATACCTGTTTGAATTGATGTGTTCTTCTAACCGTACCATCAATTGTCGCTTCCCATAGTCTAGATGATGGTCTAGCGCAGTATATGAGAGTGTTAGAAAGTTGTTCTCCAACAGTAAATCCAGCATCATTATCTACTATGTTGTATTTCTTTAATTCAGTATAATCCTGTTGATTATTTTCTGTTGAGCCATTAAGAGCAGATTTATCTTTCGTAACAAAACAAGCACCAAATTCGCCATCTCGAAGTTTTTGACCAATTTGTCTGTATTGTTCTTGAATAATATTACAAATATAGCAACGGGTAAGGGTAGATACAAGCAACATACAATCTTTGGCATCCAGCTGGCAAATTCTTGAGTCCAGGCTCAAAATAATTTGAGATGAACTGTGAAACATTGTTTTGGCAATAAAACTCTGCAGCTGCAGTACCGAAACTCTCCCAACATCATCACCGCTAAAAAGCATGTTCCTACTCCAAACCATTGGACTTACTACCAGATTTAAATATAGGTATGACTTTACTATGTTTCATTAAATCAGGAAACACACCAGATTCGACGCGTATATTAAATATAGTGGCTAGATAAGGTGCTAATGTATCTATTATAGATAAAATAACTTTAACGGAAATCCCCCATAAGTCTGCCGTTTTCTTAACATCAATAGTTTTAAAATATTTAACGATATCTCTTGGCAGTACCCTATGGAATTTAAAAGTATTTGAACAAGCCTTTACATTTTGTTTGAGCAATGATTCGGCGACAGTAGGAGAAGAAGAAATTTAATGATTTTGTTGTCAAAAAAGGAACATTAGTAAAATGTTTTTCAAAAGCCATAGCAACTTCTTGATCAGATCGCGTTAAATTATTGTTAATATTCAATTGAAAATCCGAGTTGCGCGGTTTGACCTTGTCCGTTTCACTATTTATTATTCTCCAGGTCATTTTAATTTTGTCGGATGCAGTTATAATTTTGTTGCTTAAATGTAAAGCCTTAGCAGTGGAGCACACTTTTTTAAATATTTTAGAATATGTTTTTACATAATCTCTAAATATAACACTACTATTATATGATCTTTCATCATAAAGCTCATATAACCTTTGCCTACTTTTATAAATTCCTACTGTCGCCCATTCATTAAATGATTTGCGACTGTTAAAAGAGAAAGTTTTAGAAGTAAATATTCTACTAAATTCACAACGTATAATTTCAAATAATGTAGCATACAAATAATTAGCACTATTTTTAAACGAAAGTGATGGAAGTCTTTTTATTATATTACTTCTAAACCTCTCCAAGCGATGTTCATTTATTGGAACAAACACAACTTTCTTATTTTTCTGTTTTTTGTGTATGTAAGGTAGTGATACTAACTGTCCACAGTGATCTGAACTTAAATTTTGAATAATTGATTTATGCAAGGGCTTAACATCTGTAAAAATGTTATCTATACAGGTCGCACTAGGCCCAGCAATACGTGTTGGTTCTAAGAATAAATTTACAAGATTATACGATTTAAACAATGAGCTAAACTTAATACTAATGGAAGAAGTTTCAAGGAGATTGATATTAAAGTCTCCACACATTACAACAGACTTGTTCTGTTTACTAAGTTTGAGTAAAACTTCTTCCACAATCCTTTCAAAATGGTCATAAGTAGCACATGGGGGTCTGTAAACACTTACAAAAATAAGGTGCTCGAGCTCGACACAAGCCATTTCTACAGTTCGTTCAACAGAGAGGCTCACAATATCCTTACGTTCTTTATATAATAATGATTTATCTGCTAATATTAAGGAGCCACCACGTAAACTTTTTTCTCTATTGAAGGAACTGACCACCTGGTGATTTCTGAAATTAAACATGAAATTATAATCTTTTAGCCAATGTTCAGTAATACAAAGGATGTGTATATTGTTACTATTTAAAAACAATTCAACTTCCAATTCTTTGCCCAACATGCCTTGTATATTTTGATGCACCAGGTGTAAACAATTTTTATTACTTATTTGTGGGCTGTATTCAAAATTAATTAAACTCTTATTATTGCTAGAGATTGCCTCTATTGTCACATTCACTAATTTAAATTAGTTGGAACTGATTCCAAATTAAATGTCAAATGATTATGCTCAATAAAAGCAGTCTTGGTAGCCAAAAACTTGGCTGAGTTAAAAAGTAAATAATAAGATAGCACATTTGCTATCAGTCTTAAATTATATTTGGATAGGTAATACCTATCTTTTGTCCAAAACTTTTTTAATAAATTATTTATGTCAATTACATGAAATTTATGAATATTATCATTAGAATTATATGTCAAATTTAAATTATTATTACATATTAAATTATGCATTTGTATATTTAAATTATGTCTTAAATTATTTTCTTGTGGCAATCCCTGTATATAAGGCAGTGTGAACAAGACAATTTTGTGTACATTTAAGTTATTAAGTTGTTCAATATATCTTAATAACTGTTTGTTGTTGACACTGCCTCTTCTACCAACAAAAATTATTATTGTACTATTTGGGCAAAATTTAGTAACAATAATTTTATTTAGGATGTCACTAAAAGATGCTCCAGGCATGCAGCAATTTGTAACTTTTTGTCCCCTTAAAGAGTTATTTAAAGTTATGCCTAGATTTTTTCCCACGTCATCGCTATAAACAATTATATTATTTTTAGTAATATTTGAGTTATTTATTATTTTAATATCCTCTGCTATGGCACTGTCATAGAGTTTTTGTGGTGGTATAACATTATCAGCACACACTGACTTTGAAGAATCTGGCATTGAGCGCTGACACTCACATTGATATTTAACTAAGGAGTCAAACCGCTCCTCATTATATTTACAAGTCTTTACCAGATTATCCATAGCCAATATGTGTTCTTTTATTTCATTTTGGGCTGATTTATATTTATTGGACACAGTTTGAAGGGAGTTCATAAGTGACAATATTTCTGATTTAAGGCACTCTATTTCAGTCTCATAACATTTTTTTATGTTATCCACCTCAATTGAATACAACTTAAGTTCATATAACAATGCTTGCTTTTCTTTACATACATTAACATAATTTTTGGTATTAATCTTATTTCTTATTAATTTTTGTACTTTGCTTATGTACTTATTAACTTTTATATACTTCTTCAATTTGGTTTTACTGCAATTAATCCTTACTGTATTTCCTGAAGTGGAAGAGTCGTCACCAGTCAAGTCTATTGTTGCAGATTGCTGTAACATTCTTGAAGTATCACATTGCACAAGCTCAAAGAACAGGCTTTGAGTCTGGGAGGCTTTAAGGTTATCTATATATGTTTTAAATTGTGTTATTTGCTCATTAGCCTCATTCAACTGTAACTTCAATGCAGCAATTAACCTGAGAGCTTCCTCATATTCCTTGCTGCATTGATCAAACTCATTAACCGTTCCCTGTAGCTGATCTCTTTCTTTTATAACACTTGTGTATTCTGTATGTAGCTTAACCATATCACATTTCAATTGTGTATTTTTGGCAATTATGCTAACTATTTCCCTTTCATTATCATCCCTTTCCTTAAGCAACAGTTCACACTGCTCCCTGGACGCCTTAAGTTCTTGGAGCGCAAGCTGGAGTTGGTTCTCCATCTGGCGCGTCTTGGCGTTGCGAGTATTCATTTTACTATTTATTATAAATAATAAAAGAAAACAAAGATCGAAAACAGAAGGAGCAGAGTAAGCTAATGTAAAGTCAAATCAAATTATCGTTAAAACAATTCGAAAAGAAACCCGCAAAGAATGTAATAACCCGAGTAATAGAATAAATCTTTAATTTATAGAAGGAATGATATGAAATAAGGATTACAATAATTTTTAAAAC